GTAAAATAAATACTGATGTTATTTAATATTTTGGTACTAGTATTTTATCAGTATACTGAAGATACTGGACACCAATTTACAATATACCTCCATTCGGCAATGCAACTATTTTTGGTATAAGTTCTTGTAAGGGTGCTAAATAATCTTCTAATGCCCTTGTCCAAATACTTATGAGACCATCATACAACACATGAGCTCTTGATAGGTTTAAAGATTGTTCTATATCTAAACATTCAACTTTTACATTGAGCATACATTTTTCAAGTTCCTGTAATAAGAGAAATTATATTTGACGCTCAACAAATATTTTGTTAATTAAGTACCTCTAATTGATTAGTATGTGAAAGGTATGTGAATAACTTTTGAACTATGATTGTTGGTACTTCATCAAATTGACCTTCAAGTAAATAGTTTTTTAAACATTCAAAGTAAATTTTGCAAGAAGATTCAATTAACTCTACTCCATCCCATAAGCGATTGAACAATAAACTTCTAAAAAAAAGAAATTACTAATAATTTAATGCCGTATTATTAAAAATTGACTTAAGAAATAGGTAATTATGTCGCAAGTATATTGTAGTATAAATTATCTACTAATAAGTGTTTGCATAAATATATTTATAAATATTTTATATCTACATAAAGTAATACTTACGTTTTTTGTAGATGTACACTTATGTCAAATACAATAGGAATGCCTTCTTTATAATTTATTGAGTTATTCATATCTACCATGGAATCAATGTATAAAGCAACAATGTTTATAACCTAATAAAACAAGATTTTGAACATAAAACTTATAAATATACAGTAAACCTACATTAATCCGGACTAATTGGGGCTCTAGGATGAGCAAATCAAACAAAATAACAAATGAAATGAGCCAAGGTACATATTTAAACACTGTCCAGTAAAAAAAAAGTATATTATAGATTTAAGAAGCACAAAAGTTATTTGTAAAATAAAAAATATTATCTGCAAAATACAAAACAACTAGATCTAGTTATTTTTCTGATAGTACTTCTAGTATGTATTATTAGATGGCTGTCCAAGTTAAAAAAGTCCGGACTAATGGGGTTCTATTGTACTTCACTCATTAATTATTATTATATTACAGTAATTTGTAATTGTTATTATTAGTTAAATAATGTAATAACTGAACAAAAATAAATACCTTATCTTTAACTATTTTATGTCTATGTGCTCGTGTACCTCTAAGACCAAGAACAGCTTTTCCTCTTTCTTCCAAAAAATCCACACCTAATTGTAATGCATCACTAAATAGTTTCTATAAATAATTTGAAAATTTTAATTTATCACAAAGATGTAACATTAAGATTATTACTTTATCAGTTAAACTATCTAGACGTTCAATCCAGCTCCTAATACTAATAATATGAACACTCTTCTTTCCTAACAGTACTAACTGACTATTATAACCATGTACTGAACTATAGCAACATTTATCCTAGAACAATCATAAATTCATAAAAATTCATAATAGATTCATTATAATATGGTTAAGTAGTTATTCAAATATAGACTATGGATTAATTACTAACTAAATGTTGACTATCTGTGCCATTGTAGAAGTTAGATGTGTGAACTAAGGAAATGTTTAAAAGATCTGACTGTTCCATTTCATCTCCTGCACGAACATCAACAAGATAAACTTTATCTGATGAATCCAAAGTCAATAGAGTGCGAGCATTCATCCAGCTGCATGCTAGTATTGTGTATGATAATTTTATTTTTTGCAAAATACAACAACACAGACGATCTTGATCATTGATATTGACCTAATATTGTTGAATAAAAATATTTATTAAGTAAACATTTAAAAATCACAGTAAGGCTGGTTCTTACAATGTTCGATTAAGTTTCAGTTAACACTAACTGGCTGATAACAGATTTTATTACCCCAGAATTCTGACGGTTAAGTATCCATTAACTTTAACCGAACATTGTAAGAATGACCTTAAAGAAGGTAACCTGATAAAAGTAGACTGTATCATCTCGTGTGAAAGCTAATACTGGATCCATAATTCTATGGCTTGAATTGGATGTTTTATTAAATTGTATAATGACAAACTGCCAAGATAGTAATGGTAAAGATGGACACGATGATGTTATATTGTTTGATAATAGTAGTTCAGTATTTGGTCGAATTGTAACAATAATCACCTTAAAATCAAATTTAAAATCATTTTTTTTAACATAATATACATAATTTATTGTTTTTGCAAGTAACCAGCAAATAATAGTAAGTATACTTTAGATAGAGTAGCCATTGCAATTATGACATAGCCATTCATAGGATGACTAGCTAATTGATTGAATAATAATGGTTCAATACAACACACTCTTCCACGGCCACCAGAAAATAAACATTTTGATTCGACACTACGTATACCAAAATTTCTTTTAAAATTTAACTCAAACACAGAACCAGCACTATTGTTCACAATAGCTAAATTTGGCAAATCTGAGAACTAAAATTCAAATTTATAATCAGAATATAATTTATAGAGACTTTAAATTTATCAATAAAATTAAGACAAAATTAGCAAAAGTAGTTTTATTTAATACTCACTTTTATGTGCAACACTGTAGTACCTGGAGTATGTGCATCATTCATGACTCTCAGAGTCTTACAAGTAGAAGAAGAGGAATCAAACACTATTATTGTTCCATTTATATACCCGACAATGAGTCGAGAACAATCGTGATTAAAATCTATTGCGGTTACTGCACCACAGTTTACAGCTTCATGATACCATTGGAATGTTTGTAACGAATCAAATAAAATTATAAAACCTTTGCTTGTACCAATAGCAATTAGAAGTGAAAACTTAATAGCACTAGGTTGTCCAGCATCAAAACGTTCCTAATACAAACATTTAAATACTTCAAATGCATTTAGGCATATTTTTTTAAAGAAGAAGTAAACTTAATAAACTTACACAAAATGAATGCATTTGATTGGAAACAGGCTTTAGAATCGTATGCCGTAAAATTCGTCCGGGATCGGATTTTAAGTTTAAACATTTTGGTAACTGTTTTGTGTTCATGTGACTACTACTTGAGCTACCTAATGAAGCAGAATCAGCTCCTGAATCATACCATGGTAATTTTAACTAAAATAAAATATGAATTAATTATTATACTACTTACTTCAGTTATTATGTATTGCTAAATTAATGTTTTAAATGTTTATATGTGTATCTACATTTCATTAAATGCTTATTGATTATAGATACTAGATAGTAATAATTAGTAATATTTTAACAATGTATAAGAGATAGCACATAATTTACTTTGCTCTGGTAGACAGTTGCGTCATCTTCACTTAATAAAGAAACATCTTCATCATTTAATATACTTTCTACAGTAGGAATATCATTGACTTTAGGAATATTGAACTCAGTGTCATCAATCTAGGTAAGAATAATTACAAACTATAGTAATTTATATAATATGTATTATAATCATTGAAAGTAATAAATACTTCAGATGAACCCAGATCTAGTGATTCTAAAACGTTAGTTAAAGATTGTTTTTCTTGATTTATTTGGTATGCTTCCATTTTAAATAAAATGAGTCAATACGGCAATTAATTTTCATTCCATAACTAAATAAAATATTTATCATCAAACATACAATAAAAAAATTAAGCATATGATAATAGTTTGGCTCATAACTCAGAATAGACCAATGTAGTAGTATGAAACAGTTACAGAAAATTATATGATAGGCATCAACGATTGGAGAAAATATAAATGAAAGACTCAGTTAGTCAGTTACAAAATGAACATAATTTATTTAAAAATATACCACATCATATCATGAAAATGTAATATGATGCAGTCATACATATTTTAGCACATACAAATTAGAATACTATACAATATGGCTATCATCTATAACAGCTCTACTAAGGCAGTCATTCAGAGTCCAAAAATAAGAAATTTAAATTTTGTTCAATTGAAGAAGTTATGAGCCACACCTTGATTGCAATAATGCCAATAACGATCAAAACGTATTTATATTACATATTAAGTAAGTAGTGTCTTCTGTTTTTGCTGGTGCTACGTAGTGGGTGTCAATGTCAGTCTTACTGGTTTGTTTTATCATGACTGTTCCATAATTACAATTATATCTGTCGCTTGTCATTGTGTAATAAGTTTTATGGTACTGCATAAACATAATACACATATCAATACGTCATGCTTAGCAGTAAAATTAATATAGTAGATTGTAAACCAAAAGTAAAATGAAAATTGAAGACACTCGACCGACCGATAATTTGAAAATTTTGATTTATCGAGGTATGAGTTAAAAGAGTAAACGAAGCAAAAGTTATAAATGCAGGTAGCAATGAGCGACAAGTGATATAATATTTGGCGTTTTGAATATTTAAATGTTTTGATAGCAATAATGTAATCTAAAAGTCCTCGATCACATCACAGTAAGTTATAGTTGTAGAATCTAGTATCTACTGAATAGATGGTATTTTATATATTATCATGAACATAAGGATTATGATAAAGAGATAGTACTATCACAGAATATTCTGTGGTACTATCTATCCAAACCACAGAATCAAACTGGTGGATTGATCCCATCATTGAACTATATCTATATCCGTGGTTGGAACAGGTATATTGTGGAACAAATAGTAGCTGAAAAAAAAATACTTTTGTTCCAAAAAAATTATGATCCAGGTTTTTTAAGATCCACAAAATAATTGTTCCGAGAGAATTTTTTTCACAAAATATTTGTCCCGGAAGACCTTAGTTAGTACAACGGCTTGGTTAGTTCAAACGTGGAACAAAAGTCTATTAGAACAAGTGTTTGGTGGAACAATATGCAATGTCCCAATTTTGTTACTGAATAAAAAAGTATTGATTTAAATTTTGATGTGTCGGCCGTCCGGGTGTGGGTTGGGCTGTGGGCCGTTGGTATAATATGTATATATATATTATATAGTTTATACTTTATACTATATTTATTATGTGTACTATGTTTATACTTGTCTATGTGGGTGGGTATCGGGTGATGACGATATGAACTCGTTTCTTTTTACTTAATTATCGTTAGTTATGACATAGAATTCCATGGTTATAAGTTATAACTTCTAACTACTAAGATAATAACATACCTATTATGATCTTAGTTCATACTTAATAGTGATTAGTGAGTAGTGAACTAGTGACGATTATATTAATGTTTTAATATCGAAATTTATTATAATTATATTATATAATTTGTAATATTATAGTTACCATTTTATATTTAGATACTATTGTACTAATAACCACTTTTTACTGAAATTTATGCCACAGCCCAATTAAACTTCAAACATTTTTTTAAGTTAAATTTATTATTATTAAAATCCATATATCTGAATTATTAAAAAAATTGTTGAGTATTAATTAAAAATGCGTTCAATATCAAATAAAATGTGGAAAAATACCATATATGTGTGGGAGTTCAGCCAAATAAAAAACATTCCTATGATCAGTCGACTATGTACAGCTGCAATAACAAACTCTGAAGAGGATGGCGATAAATCGTTATCTAAAGAAAAGGCTCGGACACTAGTAATGAAATTGACAAACGAAGAAAGAGACAATTTGGCATGGTGCTTAAATCATTATGAATCAGAAGAGACCAAAGCAGAATATCGAGGTTCAGTACCTTCTAAGGCTATCATGTTTTGGACTGTGCATGAAATCTTTATTCAATACTTTCAACATCTATTCCTTTTTTTTCCTATTTTGAAGCTGAAATTAGAATAAAATTTTTCAACATACATAGACTTATCTACTATACAGTAAAACAGTTGTAACATTAACTTGCTATATGTTGAAATTAAAAATAATTTGTCTATACTGACCTATAGGTCAATTGGCAGGGTTCAGATGGCGTTCAAAGTTTGGACGCCCCAGTAAAGTACCTGAACTAGGAGATGTAGATCCAACAGGCTCCTACTGTCCATTGCCAGAAGAATGGCTATTAAAAAAATACGGTACCTACCTACTTAACTTTTTACTAAATGCATACTATAATATTAAATTATATATTACTAATTCATAATTTTAATACTAATATTTTTGTTCCAAATATTATTTATTTCTTACAATGGACAGAAGAAACTAATAGTAAGATAACTAAACTATCACTAAATATTAACCATTACACTACACTTATGAAAAAAATTTAATTAGTGCAATTATTACATTTATATTTTAATTCTGTTTAATTTGAATTAGCGGAAACTGTACCAGAACCCACTAGAGCACAATTATTTAGAGGTGTGTAAATGTTATTAATACTTCTTTAAAATTAATGTTATTTGAATCAATTTTTTTCTTCAACAGTGGGATTGCAAAATGCTATTCCTTTCATTATGTTTGGATTTTTGGACAACTCAGTGATGTTAATATGTGTATGAAAACATTTAAATAATTTTTAGTATAATAGCATTACTATTATTAGTATACAATATTTATATGTTTATGGCTATACTTCATTTTTTAGGGTGAATCTATTGAAAGAACGGTTGGTGCTGTAATTACTATATCGACAATGGCTGCAGCTGCAATTGGTAATACTTTCTCTGATATTCTTGGAATTGGCTCATCATATTATGTGGAACAATTGGTAATCAAACTTGGTCTAAAACCTCCAAATCTAACACCTATTCAATTGGATATGAAATGTAGTAGACGAGCAGCCAATTTAGTAAGGTTTAAAGTATATTAAACCAAAAGTATTAACTGAGTAAATAAGTCTTTCATTTAATCACAAGTTAGAAAATATTATTTTGGATTTATAATTGAAGCATAATTTTATTTAAATGTGTAAAAGTATTTTTTTTTTTAAATTCCTATAAACATTTATTGGCTGATAATGAAAAGTGTATAGGTACCATGTCATTATTATTTTTAAAAAATAAGTTATTTTCTTATTTATACTTTGGTTTTCTGTAAATATGACAAATATTACTGTTAACTTATTTGAGTTTTAAATATTTATACTTATTTTTATTATTTTTAGGGAAGAACACTTGGAGTTACTCTAGGTTGCTTTTTAGGGATGTTTCCATTACTATTAAAAAAAGACGAAGAATCTAAGGATGAAAAGTCTGAGGAGGAAGAAGATGAAAAATAAAAAAATGTTTTATTCTGACTGATTCCTTTAAAAGATTATAATGTAGAATACAGTATAATATACCCAGTGTAATTATTAGCACTCATTATATTCTTCGATATTTTCTTATATCTGAGTGTTCAAAATTAATCTTATTTTAGCATCTATTCAACTTAAATAAATGTACTGCTTTAATTAAAATAACTAAACTGTATTGCTTGTAACATAGTTAAATGTCTATTTTGTTATTATTTTTTAGGTGTTTAATATTTTATACCTAGTTAATTAATAGTTATTTATTTGTAGTTCCTACCATATACTAATTATTATTTTATTACTGTTTACCATTTATTTAAAATTATTTATACTATTAATTATTGTACAATGTTTTTTTACTTGAAAATTAAATTAGAAATATTGATTTCTTCAATGAGTATAATTCTATTGAATATAATATGATAGAATAAACATATTTATGTATAATAAAAATCACATATTCTTTAATAAAAATAATACAATAACAAATCAATAATTAAAATAAAAAATAATTACTACAATTAACATAACTGTAAAGCTAAGATGTTTGTAGAAAATACATCTTTTAAATAAATATAAAAATAATAAGTATTATTTACTTAACAGAAAGGTGGGAAGTTTGAACATAATTCATCAATAAATTTATACAAGATGAGTGGTAGAGATTTAACATATATTCAGTAGAATCTGTACCGCAATTGCATTTGCATAAGTAACATGGTATGGAATCCTGTGTTGAACCTAAAACCTAGTATTTTTTGCTAGTTAAAATTTGTTTTCTATTAATGTATGAATAATTGAATTTACCTCTATAGTATTAGTTGGTTTAAAGGTACAATTATTTAAGTATGCTTCCAATTTAGACAACACATTGTTTAATCTATCTTCTAATGACGGACAATAACAGTTCTTAAGTATTCTTTGACAAATTTGACTTATCAAATTTAATTCTAAAACATTTAAATCAGAATAATTTAATAGTTTGATTTTCAGATAATACAAAATTTTGTTATGCATACGTGTCATGTAGTTAATCCCTTTATCGTGATTTATAACTTCCATAAGTACTTTCTCATCAGATATGCTTGAAAATGTAGTGAAACCTTCTAGCAAAAACTCCAAACATTTATTTATGCATTGTACCTGCACAAATATATTTTATAAATGAAAGATGGCACAACAGATTAAAAAACATCATTTTTATTTTTGTAAAAAATTAACTTAATTTCATCCCATTCACAAGAAGTTATAAAGAAATGTATCAGTACTTCAGTTATAAAAATGAAAAATACATACTTGTACATTTTTCCAATCCACTTCAATGTCAGGTTTATTGTTTGAAACTTCCTCAACACATAAGAAATCTCCAAATTCATCATCATAAACATCATTTTTAACATTATCGTTAATACTTTCAACGGATTTTACTTCCAAAATATCATTATTATTATTTTTATTTATGATATTTTCAACATCATCAGTTTCTGCTGCCAAAGTCCGAAATACTTCATATTTATCAAGAATATCATCTTGGCTAGCTATCACATCTTGTTGGTTTTCTAACAAAATTGAAACAGCATCTGCTGATGTGTCATTTAACAGTTCAGCAGTTTTTTCAATAATCTTAGTGTTTTCATTAAAAGACAGTGTATCAAAAGCTGACTGGAAATCAGTAAACTCTTGATTATTTTTACTGTCAGTGGTCGTAAATTGAGCACATTGGAAATCTGAAAACTCATCATCAAATGTCTCAAAACTATCATTAACCGGAGCAAAGTCTAAAGATTTTGGTTCAAGATTAGTAGATAACGGGGACATCATTTTTGACATTTGATTTTTTGGTTCAATGAATGTTACTGCTAAAGGGTCGTATTCTTCAGATGGAATGATGTTACAATTTGGCTGTTGAAAGTTTTTGGTATAATCATGTTGATGCTCATTATTAATTTTTGATATGCAACTAGCCTTGCTTGCTAGTTGTTGTGGCTTATGTTCAATATTTGATTTCACTGTTGACACATTATGTTTTTTCTCGATAATTGTATAATTTAATTGTGGTATTATTGGTTTATGAATATGTTGCAACAATGATACATTAGACACTGAATATCCATTCTAAAATTTTAAAAAATATCATTTATCAAATTATTAGTTTTTATATAAATAGAAAATATTAAGTTATTTATTATATATATATTCGGCTAATTTCCATTCAAAGAATAGGACAACATTTGACAAAACTTAATATTATTCTATGACTTTTGAGTTATATGCTTCATTTTATTCTCCTGATGATATATTATAGGAGGCAATTGTCCGCTACCGTTAAAAGCCTATAAGTGCAATGAACCTATATTAAATTCACCAACCTTACCTGAACCAGTGTAATTAAAGCCAGAATTATGTAAAGTTCTTGTTGAGATAATGATCCTTCAACACCAACATTAGCCATAGACCATAATCCACCCAATACATCAACAGGTAGACCACTAGTCATCAATAACTGTGAAACTAAATGAGTATCACATGTTCTATCCCGTCTATCAGATTTCACATACTGCCAAATCTGTTCATATAATGGGTGAACAAAACCTGATTTTGGTATCATCCATTTTGGCAAATTCTGTTAAAATATAAAAATAACATAGATTGAATCAATTAAAAACAACTGAAGACCATTTAAGTTTACTTAAAACTTCAATACTTTTTAAGTAAAATCTTTACATACATACACAAAATGCACCATTTTTAATACTCATGAAATAAAAATAAGTTTATTATTTAATTATCAAGTACAAATAACTTTATCATTGAAATGATCAAACCATTTGTGTTATTAATTAGAATTCAGTTAGACAGTTTGATTTTCTCATAACAATCAAGACATTTTTATTAAAAATTCTAATGAGAATGCCTCACCTGTTACGAGCATTTCTTGTTTATGTCTTACAGGTGAGTATATCAAATTTACGTTTTACCTAATAAATAACCATGGATATTTAATATCCCCGAAAAAGTAACCGTATAATAAAAATGATACGTATAAGGTATACTTACTAAATAATAAATTTGTACTACAATGTCAATAATATATAAATATGAAATAGTCAATTTTTTCAATTGTGGTAAATTTGTTTTAAAATGTTAAATACTACCTTGAAGTTTGATGATGGCTAAATTTACACTTATACTAAAACTAAAACAGGTACATCGCTTATTGTAAATTTGAGATGTTATGCACTTGTAATAAGTGTTCTCTCCTCTTAACATTTATTATGATTTTAATAATTTTATTACCGAATACAATTGATGATCTTTATTTACAACAAATGTGTCTTGAGAAATGATGTTTTTAATCATAGAATCTGCATCAACACTCTAAAAATAATAATGATATTATTTTTTTTTAATTTATATAATTCCTAAACAATAGAATTTTGGTGTCAAAACTTTACTTTTGACATAACTTAGATTATTCAATCATTGCTCTTTTCATAATTGGCTAAATATAAGCTATCTTTAGATAAAAAAACAAAGTGTAAACACAGTTTGAACACAATTAATGAATAACCGTAATGTCATAATGATTAAAGAGTATCAAGACTTACTTTTCCATTGGAATTTTTTTTACTCGAAGAAGCAAAGCTCTTAGCATCGTGAAATTTATCCATTCGGAAATATATATTAAACAATATAAAATAACAATTGAGCAAGGCTTTAAAAAATCACAAATTATGTCAAAGTGTAATTGTGTAAGTTTGTTTCAACCTTTCAACAAAATGAGGAATACTTAAGTAGTTTATTACTTAAATGATCATATAATAATATCTTATATTATTCTATATAGTAATTACTAGTTAATATTTAGTAATATTTCATATTACTAATTAGTAATTAGTAATAGAACATAGTATATTATTTATTTTAATATTGTTAACATAGATAAGAATATATGATAGATATAAATATATAGATTGTTAATCAGTAATCACGGAGGTCCTTGAAGTTGAATTATTTTTAAAAAGTTATAACTAATATGATAACAAGCGCTAGGTGTAGTTTGCAACAGCTGTTGTGGCAAGTCAGATTGGGTCTAGTCTTAGATCATATACATAGGTATATCGTATATGATCTAAGGGTCTAGTTCACGATTTAAGATAGTATCTAAAATACTATCTTAAATCGTGGTCTAGTCTAATAAAAATTGTTCTGGAACCGAATTAAATGATAAACGTTATTTTTTGTATAAATATTCAATTTTTTCCAAATTTAAACTTAAAATGTCTGTAAAAAAAAACTATATTTATACATTTGTTAGATTTTTTACTTGTGGAAAAACCTTCTTAAGTGGAACCTTTTTTTACATTTTTAATCCTTAACTATAAAAATTGAAAATTGTATACATTTTTAACTAGAAAATCATTTTTAATTTTCAATTTGTTAAATAATGTCAAAATTTGAACTTTAAATGCTAATCAAAACAACAAATCATGACTATGTATTTTTAATATTTTTCAACTGCTATTGTAACAATATATCAAGAGTCTTGTATTAAATTTTTATGCTTTTTGACAAAACTAATAAAATTGTATTGACATTTATAGACAAAAAATGAAAGAAAATGAAAATTGAAAATGTCCGTCGATAGCTTAAAACTAGTCGAAATATTTTGAAAAATTTATCAAGTATATAAATTGATAAAATAAACATATGGTTTAAATTTCAAGTATCTACAGTACAGTTTATTTTTGAATTACAACAAAATAAGAAAATCGCTACAGAAGAAATCGAGAGAATATCCAATGTTGTAAAAATTTTATTTCAATTTTTTTTTTTTTTTTTGATTAAGTTAGACAAACTCATAATCAATTTTATACTAAATTTTTAAATCTTAGATACAAAAAGAAAAATTTTATAATATTTCTAACTAAGTATAATTTGCTAATTTTCGTGATTTTACGAATTTTGTCAAAATTCTAAGCTTAAACGCTCATAAAAATTATTGTGGGTTTACGCTCAACTTTTTTTACAAAAATGTATTGCAATTTTTACCTTAATATATGACTAATTTATAATAAACGTGAATTATATATGGTATAGTTCGATTGTTATGCATAAATATTAAATGTATAAATATTTAATATCTTAATATAAAATAGGTAAAGATCATTTTAAATAGGTAAATTTCATTTTAAAACTAATATAATACAAAAATAGTCAAATTATATCAAATAAATAATTAAAAATGTACGTAATGAAATGAAT